TGCTTCCAAAGTCTGTTTCTGGAGTTTAAATTCAAAAGATCTTCCGTTACTTTTGCTGTTTTGATAGAGGACATACTACAGATGTGGAGGATGCTTGTGCTTTTTTTGCTTTGCTATGTTCTGCTCGTATTTCTTTCCAGGGAAGGTTGTGTGGAGTCGAGAGGAGTCCCTGGCAGAAGTGGTAAGCTTGGAGATGGTGGATCTACCTCTGACAGGGGCACAGGCTGAGTTGGAGGGAGAATTTGGAAAGAAAGCAGGTAAGCCATAAACTTAATGGTGTTATCTGTAAATAGATGAGGTTCTGTTTATTTTTCCCCTGAATTAATATATAGTTTTCTGTTAAACCATGAGTTACTTGGATTCAAATTTCCACTATACGATCAATAGAACTGAAGATGAACCCGTTTCTGTCCCCACTTTTAAAGCCCAGTGCCAAAGGCAGATCACAAACATAATTAATTCCAGACTGTCAGTGTAATATGGAGGTAGAGAGATTTTAGCCATCTTTCTTAAACATTTCCCTTTGATCCTCTTATTGCCTCTTCTGGAAGACTCATTTGCAATACCCTTTGTTTTTGCTTTGTTTTGCTTTCTTGCTGTCCTGGATGCAGCCATTCAAGGTAACCTCAGAAACTGTATGCAGTGTTTCCTAATCTTTCTGACAAGGAGTTTTCTAGTAGCTCTTTTTCTTTTCACTACTCATTTTCCTGATAATGAAATATAGTTAAGTCTGGTGTTTTTAGCACCTTGACAGAAGCAATACAAACTCTCATTGGGCAGAATGAAGATGTTTTTGTTTGTTTGATTTTTCCCTGCGAGTTGTTCTGTTGCTCTGAGTAATGAGTGCAAATAAAGCTTGAGCCCTTGTAAAAGTGGGTTAGCTTTGGGTGGGCACTTACCCACCCCAAAGTGGTGGACACTTTTCAAGGAGGAAGAAGGAATCCAGAGGAGGAGATTGTGCTCTGCAAGAAGGTTTGCTCTCAGCTGCTGAGAGTGGCTTTTGGAATGAGCTACACCAGGGTGAAGTGGGAAAAGGATGGTAAATGCCAAAAAGTCTTTAATGATAATAACTAGTGGTAACCTAAGTCTGATGTTCTGAGAGGAAGGCAGAACCTAAGAGTTCTCAAGGTCAGACATGGCCATGGTGGTTTTACTGTTTTAAACTGTAATTGGATTACAGAGTGGGAATTAACACTTTTCAGTTATGTAATATCTCCCCCCTTTGTCATAATTTCTGGTCCCTTTGCAGATGGCTTGCTAGGGATGTTTCTGAAGCGTCTCTCCTCCCAGCTTATCCTTCTGCAAGCCTGGATGGCCCATCTTTGGAAGATGTTTTATGATGCCAGGAAACCCCGGAGCCAGATTAAGAATGAGATTAATATTGATAATTTGGCAAGAGATGAATTCAACCTCCAGAAAATGATGGTGATGGTCACGGCTTCAGGCAAGGTGAGGGCAGGAATACGTTTCTAGGCTGTAGCAAAGGGTCTCGCCACCGAGTTGTTCCTGCAGCTGTGAAGAATGTCTTGAAAAGATGCACAATGTATTTTGTGGTGGCAATGGAGAGAGACTAAGGCTCCTCTTTCCTTGTCAGCCCCCAAACAAGCTGCAGTGCTTAAACTGCAGTATTTAAGTTTAAAAGATGTCTTGATCTGCACTTGGGCTTTATTGCGGTCTCTCTTTTCCTCAGCTTTTTGGCATTGAAAGCAGCTCTGGCACCATCCTGTGGAAGCAGTACCTCAGGAATGTGCAACCCGGCTCCTCCTTCAAGCTGATGGTCCAGAGAACAACAGCCCATTTCCCCCACCCTCCGCAGTGCACCTTGCTCATTAAGGACAAGGTGAGTTTCTGTACCCCTCTACTGAATCTGTTTAGCCACAGCCAGGAAAATTGGATATTTAAAAGGAATTTTTGGCTGATAGCTATGCTGTCCCTCAACAGAGGGATTGTTTTGGTATGTGTGTTTAGACGGAGCGTGTTTTCAGGGTTGGAGTAGTTGAACCTTAGATGTGAATAGTCCACACCGGTATGTAACAGATGGAAAAAAGCTCTTTTGTCAGTTTTACAAGAAGTTTTGCATCTCATTTGTTTTTAGGAAACCAAAATGAGCTTTCTGTATGTCTTTAACCCCATCTTTGGGAAGCGGAGCCAGGTAGCTCCCCCTGTGCTGAAGCGTCCGGTCCTTCAGACTTTACTCCTGCCTATTATGGATCAAGACTATGCCAAAGTGCTGCTCCTGATTGATGATGAGTACAAGGTAAATTGCTTTGCCCCCAGGCAGCATTCTTCATATTCAGGTTAATTACTCTCCCCTTTTCAGAACAAGTTAAAAAAAATTACACTTCAAAAAAAAGTTATTCTGATAAAACTTCATAATAAATGTCTTTACCAGTTTGTTGTTGTTGTTTTCTTGTTTGTCAATTCATCTTTAATGTGTGTGCCAATTCTTCTTTTTTAGGTTACAGCTTTCCCAGCGACTAAGAATGTTCTTCGCCAGTTAGAGGAAATAGCCCACTCTATCTTTTTTTATCTAGTGGATGCTGATCAGGGAAAACTTTCTGGGTTCAGGCTGAAAAAGGTATGGAAGAAGCATTACCGTACAAGTGATATGTTTGTGTATGTTCTATAGATAATAGTAGATCTTTGCACTTGTCATACGGAGTTTTGGTTGAAGCGTGAATATTTCAGCTGGCTTTAGACTTCTGAGTCTAAACATCCCTGATGAATATTTCAGCTGGCTTTAGACTTCTAAGGCTCAAAACATTCTTGGAAAGCTTTCAAAACACCAAGCACAGGAATCTCCCTGGGATTTAATGGAGGGGACCCTCTTCAGAGGACCAGGTAAAACCTTCTCCTATGTCCTGTGTTTCTTGCAGGACCTGACAACGGAGGAGAGTTGGAATGTGATCATTCCTGTGGAAGTGCAGAGGATAGTGACAGTAAAAGGGAAGAGATCCAGTGAGCACGTGCACTCACAGGGCCGCGTGATGGGCGATCGCAGCGTTCTCTACAAGGTGCCCTGGGAACTCTTTTGCTGATATATTAGGTTACTGCAAGATCCCTCTACCTTATTTGAGCACTGTTGGTGTTAAATCTTTTCCCTGTGAGGTCATTTTTTTTTCTATGCCGTCATCACTGTCCCTAACCTGAGAAAATCAGAATCTTCACTGGAAGATGTTAATTTTTGGCAGACTTTTTTATACGAAATGTTTTCATGCAGCGATTGAAAGCCAGTCAAATGGCAGAGGCTGGGAGGGACTGCTGCTTGATTTCTCCAGATGATCTGTATTAGAAAGATATTTTGTTCATCATGTCTCTGGTCCAAGATAAAATGCAAATACCGACGGTCCCTCTGACACTGAAGTGGGGGTCTCAGCTGCTTTTCCTTTTGTGTGTTGCTACAGTCTTTGAATCCAAATCTGCTTGCGGTGGTGACGGAGAGCGCCGATACCCATCCAGAACGCACTTTCATTGGAATATATCTCATCGATGGGGTCACGGGCAGGATCATCCACTCCTCAGTGCAGAAGAAAGCGAAGGGACCTGTCCACATTGTCCATTCGGAGAACTGGGTGGTGGTAAGAACTCCTGTCAGCCTGTCTTTTAATTTTAGGAGGTGGGGGCAGGTGCTGAGCCTGCATGCAAAATACTTTCCGGCATTTCTCCGTGGTTTGTTGCTACCTCTGTGCTGCAAACTTGGCTCATCCTGTCCTGAAGGACGTTTTCCTCTCTTGTTCCAGTACCAGTACTGGAATACGAAGGCACGTCGGAACGAGTTCACTGTGCTGGAGCTGTACGAGGGCACGGAGCAGTACAACGCCACGGCCTTCAGCTCCCTCGACCGCCCGCTTCTGCCCCAGGTCCTCCAGCAATCTTACATCTTCCCGTCTGCCATCAGTGCCATGGAGGCCACCATCACCGAGCGAGGCATCACCAGCCGCCACTTGCTCAGTAAGTGCGCGCTGCTCTGCCCACTGTGCTTGGAGGTTGCTGCTCCCTGCATGAGCCAGGCAACGTGCTCCAAACTCAGCCGCAGGCATTTTTTTTTGCCCAAGATCCTGCCTGCTGTTGGGCAGCACTGGTCTCTTGTCAGATGCAAGGACATGCATGAGGAGGGCATTTTTATTAGTTGTTAGAAAATGCTGTCAGAAGACTGTTTTTTAAGATGCACCTCTCTTTTTCTAATGTGCAGTTGGGCTTCCCTCTGGGGCCATCCTCTCCCTTCCAAAGGCTTTGCTGGATCCTCGCCGTCCTGAAATCCCTACAGAACAAAGCAGGTAAGGAAAACTCAGTTACCACTGTTGATGGACCCCTTTAGAGTGATGAGTTTGTGTGTAATGTGCTGTAGTAGAGCAACTTTTCATGGATAGATTCAGGGCAATTCTTGCCTGACCATTAGTGGAGCTGATTCATTGCCTGTTCATGATGACGAACAATTGTCTGTAATGCAGCTGTAATACAGCATGTAATATAGAAAAAAAAAAAAGTCTTCTATTTTAGAAATTGGAGTCTATGTAACTGAAGTTTCTAGAATGACACTCGATTATTTTTAAAGCTTGAGACCTCTAAGAGGAGCCTGCTGCAGTACGGGGTGACCTAGCTGACGTGTGTTTTCTGCTTGTTGCAAAAATAAATCTGCACTGGGAAAAGCTGCTAAATTTGATGCTTTAGGTCACTAGTTCAGAACAATCAGACTTATGATTCCTAGGCAACAAAATGTAGGTGAAAATGTCCCTTGCACGCTGTTTTGATTTCTCTCTCAATTCCTTTCAGAGAAGAGAACTTGATTCCATATTCTCCTGATGTGCAGATCCATGCTGAGAGGTTCATCAACTACAATCAAACCGTATCACAAATGAGGGGGATTTACACAGCGCCCTCCGGCCTGGAGTCCACGTGCTTGGTGAGTGCACGGTGACAGGGCGCCTGTTGCTTCTGCTCCTGTGGCTGCTCCCTGCTTTGTCATTTCTTGTTTCATTTTTCTGATTTCCCTGCCTTTCTGCTCGTGTTCTGCTCTCCTTAGGTTGTTGCATATGGCCTGGACATCTATCAGACCCGAGTGTACCCCTCGAAGCAATTCGACGTCCTCAAAGATGACTACGACTACGTGCTGATAAGCAGCGTCCTCTTCGGCTTGGTTTTTGCCACTATCACGCTGTTTTGATTTCCTCAGGTGAAGCTGCTGAACGGCGCGTGGCGGTAACGCCGCGAGCGGCGCCCACGCTGCTGAGGAAGGTCCCAAGACCCCGTCTGGCTGCTGATCTGCGACCTGCTGTCGCTGCTGGGTTCGATTTGAAGTTCTTTGGGCCTGCCTGTGACAGAGCATTTGTGGGGGGAGATGTTTTGCAAGGAGGCACAGGAGTGTGCTGCCTGCATGCCTCCCTGCGAGGAGAGATGGAATGAGATGGGAGAGAGACATGGGTCTGCTGTGACTGGGAAGAAAAAAAACAACAACAACAACACTCCCCAACCCTTCAAACAAAAGGTCTATAGTTCCCCTGCCCTAGAATCTGATGCTCCCATTATCATCCCAAAGCAATCCCCCACTTTTCATGAAGATCTGTGCTGACATGCTAGGATGAGTGTCCGGGAATCCTGCCCTCCTCTTCCAGCCAGCCCTTCCTCACGTCTCGGCGAGAGCAGGCGGCTGCTGGTGGCTGCTGTGGACTTGGAAAATGTGGGAGCTGCTGTGAGACATCTGAGAGGAAGAGGAGCGGCCGAGCCCATCTGCAGAGGAGCAGGAGCCGGTGCCTGAGCCTCGAGGGAAATAGAGGCATGGGGCAGTTAAGGGTGTGGGGGGGTGGGGGAAGGAGTTTCCATGTCAGGTCTCGCGTGGTCTTTTATTTATTACAGCACCTGTTTCTTCCTTGTTTGGAAAAAAAAAATCCCAGCTTTCTTCTACAGTGTCAGGATCGTTTATGTGGCTGCTTCTGATGTCATTTGTGAAAGAGAATAAAGAATGGGGGCCCAAAAGGTGAGGTGTGAATGGCCTTGAAATGGAAAACAGCCGCTGCTCCTTTTCCCCCTGCGCCCTCCCACCCCGCGCTTCACTTTCATTGTGTGTTTTAGTGCCCGACTGGCTTTAGATGGTCCTAAACACCTTCTGCAGCTCTCTGTGCCCCCCTTTTGGGGCTCAAGGGCTCCGTTTTGGGGCTCAGTCCATTTTGAGGCTCAGTGGCTCCATTCCAGGGCTCCCTTTTGGGGCTCAGCAGCTCCGTTTTGGGGCTCAGAGTCTCCCTTTCAGGGCTCCACGGCTCTGTTTCGGGGCTCAGTCCTTTTGCGGGCTCAGTGCCCTGCTTTTGGGGCTCCGGGGCTCTGTTTTGGGGCTGAGTTGCCTCCTTTTGAGGCTTTGTGGCTCCCTTTCCAGGCTCAGCCGCTCCGTTTCGGGGCTCTGCGGCCCCGTTTTGGGGCGGGCCGCGGCGCTTTGGCCATGTGTCCCCTCCGGGTCACACAAGGGCGGAGGCGGGGGCGTGTGCGCAGGAGTCCCTGCGCATGCGCCCGCGCGCGCCCATCGCGCATGCGCCACAGTG